TTTCCGAGACTTACCAAAAATAAAGGATCTGTCATCGGCCTCAAACCAAAAATATGCATATCTACAAGAGAAAATCAACCAAATGAAGTGCAGAGATCGGAAGCTGAATACACATAAAAATTCCTCGGACAAGATACAATTGCACATAGTTATCGTGCAATATGAAATAGAGAGGATGCCCTTTCACAGCCTAACATAACTGGGACTTTAGTCACTAGGACATAATGGAATCATTAACATCTAAAAATCCTGCAACAAAATTCACATCAAATAACAGTAATGAAACTTAGCCACCATTTTGATGCTCTTTTTAACTCTCTTTACTTATATCAAACAGAACTGCATTTTGTATGCAACCACAATAGCCAAGTTGTTTGCAATAAGTAAGCAATTTGAGCGCAGCCATAGTGTTCGCTCCAAACAGAATTCGAAAAATAGTGAAGCAGGGTGGCGGCTTAGTTAGATGGTAAAATTTTTAGTTTACGTAGAGAATATTTTAGACTAATATTCACCCTCTTCATGTTTAATATTCCCATATTTAATGGAGCATGTAAAGTTAAAAAGATGGAACTATACCATGATTCATGACCGAAAATCAGCACTTTCTCCACCTCAAAAAGTAACTTCTCCACATTATAACATAACATTCAGGTGTCAACCTATATCAGAACCTAAGTATGAGCACGTACCTTCTTCATCAAGTAAATTTGCTTCATCAGCCTCTTGTAATTCTCTCCTTAGGTATTGTGCAGCTACTTTCTGGTGGCCTACATCCTCTGGGTGGTGAGAGAGGGAAGTAACACGAATATGAGATGTCAAAACAATGCACATTAAATGACAGATAGGCAATTACACAGTTCATACTTGGTCTCTCCAAGCCATATGATAGAAGAAAATCACGAGAAAAAAAAAAATGAGAAAAGCTTATAAATAGAAGAAGTAATTTAACTGTTTTCTTATGACTCCACACAAGCTACGCAAGAATTTAAGTTATAGTAACTTCTAAGTAATCAACCTTCCTTCACAGTTAACAAAGGTAACCAGAATAAATCGAGTGTTTGCATTTAAGTTGACACAGATGTTACTCCTTCATGTTTGTAAATACATAGAAATTCATGTGACACAGAATGCATGTGTCTGTACTGTGCAACAAGCGAGGCATTCATAAAAAGCACACACACACACAGAGTGCTGATGGGCGGAATTTTAATTAAATCACATTTCCAATCGGAAGGCTACTTTCACATCATTTCTGTAGAAGATGACCCACAAAAGTGTTTGAAAAAATCACAAATTCACAAAAAAATCATTTTACGAACTACGGAGTGCAAACAGGTTAACTGATAATATGAAAGAGTAAGCATCTAAGGACTGCATTACGCTCGAGGAGAATACATTCATGTCCCACTTGAAGCCAAATCTTAAGATTGTTTAATATTTTACCTGTTACAGTTTGCGAGATACTTCCAGCATCTAGAAGCCCCGCCAAGGCTGTCATTTTGCCACTTCCGATATAGCATACCATCAAAATATTGAACCCTGTGTACCCCGGAAAACTGCTATCGAGAATATTTTTCATGTGAAAATAGTAAAATTAAGTCAGAAGTTAAAGTTATGTACATCTACATCACAGTATTGAATCAATAAAAGTTCCTTTGTGCTCGTTCGACTTAAACTACTTTTTCAATTCGTAAGATTTGAAAATTTTACATAATTTCGGCTTTTCGCCCGCTTACTTGTAATTCGGGTTTTTTTAATTCCTTCACTACTTATTTCTCAACTCAACCAAGGCTAAAACAAAACTCAAAATTCTCAATTCTTTCTTATATAATTAAATTAAAGAAAATAGTCAATTCTGAAGCAAAATGTACTTCAAATACACCCAATTTCACACGCATTATATGCTGTGCCACATATCCAACACAAGATCCCCAGCATTTTCTTGAGACAAACAAAAAATCAAAGGGAACCCCTCCGGGAAAAAAATTATTAAAAAAATAATATATATATATATATATATATATATATATATATATATATATATATATATATATATATATATAAAACATGCAGAAATAGTTCCATTTAGGAATCGAACGAGTCAAATGAGATCATCCGAGCAAAAATAAAATCAAAATTCAAATAATTCACAGTGGCATTACCTCTGCTTTGGGTATCTGATATCCGGAGATTGCTCAAAAAGGGGGATTTTTCAGCGAATTGTTGATAAGCAAATTCTGAAACAGCTTCGGAACTGGGAATCGTACTGAATTAATCGTGACCGAGAATACTGTAATGTAGTATACAGAGAACCCAAAGATTTTGATAAAAAAAATTCCAAAAAAAAAAAAATAATAAAAAAAAAATAAAAAGGAAATAATTATATAATATATATTATATATTATTTTTTTCACTCTCGCGCATTCAGAAGGGGGGGGGGGAGTGTGGAGAGGAGAAGAAGAAAGCGAACAACAAATAGGAGCGGGCTCCTGCAGTGCCACTTCCTGTGGTTCTGTACAGTTCCATCTTTTTAAAGTAAAGTCGCTTGAACATGCATAGCTGCAATAGTACATTTGGGATTCACATAAATGAATAAAGTTTATTTATTTTCTGAAATAAAAAATAACAAATAAAAAATGATATGTAAAATCTTATTGGGCTAGTTGGATTAGGTAAATGGGCAGGTTTTGGCCCACAAAAAAAAAAATAACCTGTCTTGACTATGGACCAACTTGCAGATTTTATAAGTTAAGCCTTAGTGATTTGTGTTGTTAATAATGGTTTTATCAAATTATTTATATTTTTTAATCTACAATAATTAACTTTTCAATTAATTAGTACCATGTAAGTAAATCTTCTTGGATTATTGAAAATAATTCGAGATTTTCGCACAAATATTGAATAAAAACTGGCATTTTGACAATGGTCACTAGTGTTGAAGCACGTTAAGCTAACTCGCGACTCGCGTCACAAAAAATGCGTCAAGTTAAGTGTCGATTTTGGAACAACGGTTACCCTCCAGACACCCGTACTGGATATAACAACTAAAACTTTATGTCATAAACAAATGACGAGATATTTAATATCTCGTCATTTCTTCATTTTTTATGTTTGGACGTCAACCATTTCTTCATTTCAGTTAAATTTGTCTAATCATTCTAGTAAAATATTTCCGGATTTTAAATTACCCTTCAATTATATTTACTATGTGCCTTCAAGGGAATAGTGAAATGGTTGTACAAGTCAAAGCATGAAACATTCTCTGAACATATCAGTTGATTGGACGTGCATTAAATGTTGTCACATGGCTTAGGCGGCTGAATCTCTCGCTATCTTGTGGTCGATCATCCTCTCCTTCTTGCTACAGAAGTTAGGTTGGCGTTTGTCTCGCTCGGAGTTAACTCGCAAACGCCTGGTTTCGTAGAATAATAAAGGCGACTGTTTCATGTGGGCTTCGTCTCTTCTTATAAGATTTCATTGAGATGGACATACTTAATGGACCCGAGCAATTGAATTAATCCGAATCATATAAAAAAATGATGGATTGATTTGAATTGCTATCAAGTCAAATTCACAACTAGTCAACAACGCGATATATTATGTAATTTTCAATTTTGGTATTGAAAAATGCTTAGACCACTGATGATGCTAATTACTTAGATCACCTGGGGTAGTGTAGAAAATGAACTGGGAGAGCAAAGCGGATCAGTAGCTTGACAACTTGATGATCCTGAGGTACCTGCGATCATATAACACATGAACTAAGCCGGGGGTTGATCCGGCGGAAACCCCTCCGACGCTTAAGTCAGACGTGCTGATCATAGAAATAGTCCAGATAATACGATTAATAGTATTGCTCAGATAATAGGACGTACCTTAAGGAATGAGTTCAAACATTTATTTATAACTTAGTTGAGATTGTCGGGCCCAAACCTTACTTGAAGGTGATTGGGCCTCGGTGATAGTGGTCTTCGACATTGGGCTCGTGGCCCAGTAGGTAAATAATTTGTAGGCCCATTGCGTTGGGCCAATTAGACATATCAACCACATATTTAAACGAAACGAATAGATGATGTTTTAAATACTTCTGGCTTTGAAGTTTAAATGTGGAAAACGACTGATGTTGAATTCTTCCAACGGTGAATCGATGAGAATAACTAAAATGTTGAATTATTAAAATAAAAATGATCAAATCTATTTTTTATGAACATAAAGGATCAAATATGTAATTAATATAAATTTGAAGGTGAAAACTATAATTTTTCTAAAAGATTTATCTCCATTACGTATTTGGGGAGTAAACTGCAAAAAGTACCCCTATGATAAATAACAAATAACAAAAACCCCCTGTGATAAATAATTAGCAAAACCCCCTCTGTGAAACTTAGTCAAAGGCAAAAACCCCGCGGTTGATTTAAGTGTGGCTCACTCACGGGTTGCGCGACTGGTAGTTGATTTTTGGACGTGAAATGACGAAATTAATCATAAAAATGTATTTATATGTATATATATTATATGTATATATATTTTCCTTTTAATTTGATTGTTTAGAAATTAAGATATTAAAAAATAGTAAATAATTAAATTAAAAAATAATTAAAAATTTGTTAATCAAATTAAGTATAGATTTTTTTAAATAAATAATAATGGAATTAAAGTTTTCTTTTGATGTAGCGATAATTTAAAATATATACAAAAATTATGTGATAATAAAAATAAAAATAAATTAAAGACCACATTGTACCTTTATAATTAAGATATAACAAAAATAAAATAATTAAAATATTTAAAAAATATAAGAATTTATTAGTTGCAAAATTCCGGTGGTATTTGTGTCTTTTTATATGAAGTCAACACTCAAATGAGAAATGGGCCGAGTGTGTTATTTAAATAATTTCATTAGGAATTTTTTGCTAGTTTATTTATCATAGAGGGTTTTCGCTATTTAGATATTACACAGGGGTACTTTTTGTAATTTACTCCATATTTGGGTGGCAAAACCATTGACAACAATCTGCTTACTCTTCCCCCAATTCG